TTCAGAGCTGTGCATTGGCATCCCCTGGTTCAAACACAGGTTAGTTACAGAACTCCAAATAATGCCTTAACTTGGTCAGTGTGTTGCAGCTCAGTTTCTGGGGCTCACTAGAGAGCAAGACCAGCTTCACAAAGCTCCTCATTGGTAGTGTGATGACGTCCATAGACACAAGACCCACACCCAGCCATGGTTTTCATTTGGGGAAGACGAAGCATCACCTTGCACAGCAATCTTCTTGGGTCTGTAGGATGCAGCTGACTACTGGTGAATATGCAATAAGTAAAGAAGCTCCACTTGTTAGAGTCTGGCCAAAGACCTTTCCTGTCGGTACAGAAGCTCACTGGGAGGAAAGCTGATGCCCATCAGCTGAGCCTGAGTGAGTGGCTGGCTCTCGGGATACCCATTGTGACTAAAGAATAGCATAGGAAAACCCAGAATTGCTGCATTTTTCAGGTACAGATCAGTTCTCAAAATCTGCCTTTGGTCTGCGGTACTGCACACGGCTTCTCTGTGATGTGGTAGGGTTACTTGAGCTCCTTTATAAGAAGCCTGAATTACCCTGTATTAGAGGCTGCTGATTGTCTCTTTTGAAAAAAAAAAAAAATCGGAAGTGGATCTTCCTGTGATGGCAGCACAGGGTTTTGTTACCAAGAATACAGAAGCTTTGTTTTCTGGAAGTGGCTACTCTTGGAGATGAGAGCCAGAAAAGTTGCAGCTGAGAGCTGCCTGCTGTTGGGATCACTCCACTGGATAAGAAGGGAAACAGCTTAGGCCATGGATGGGGTGTCTGAAATTGAGTCTTGTGATATAATTTTACTTTTGGGGATCCTGATTTTCTTTTAACAAACCTGAAAAGGCTTTTTATTCCTTTTTTTTAAAACGGTAATCATAAAATACTTACCCTACATAAATACCTGTAAATCTTGACTGCTGAAAAAGTCAAATCAAATACATGGAAATGGCTTTTCAGCTGTGAGAGTGTTTTTACTTTTTCTACAATTGCCATGATACCTCCTAGGATGGCCCGTGCTTTTAATCAGGTGAAGCTCCTGGGGAGGTTGTGGGAGCTTTGGGAGGCCATGGGGTGAGGCTGCATGTTTTGGGAGTGACTAGGCAGGCTTCTCCTTGGCACAGCCTTTCCAGATGTGGAAGTGTTGCACAGACAGCAATGTTTTTTTTTCCCGGGGGTCTTGTAGCATGTTGCTAGAAGCTGGAAGCAACATGCTAGAAGAAGTAAGAGCTCTGTCAGGGATTTCTCAGCCTCTGTCAGGCACTGGAGAAGCAGAGTAGCCGACATATCCCATCTGGTAAGAGAAACTCATAAATTACAGAAATTGACACTTTTTTGTTTCCTTCCCAGCTGTCTGCCCTTGTCCTCCAGTCAAACCAGTGCCCACCACTTGGGTTGTGCCAGGGGTGCAGCAGTGTTGCTTCTGTCCCCTTTCACTCAATTTGGTGGTCTTTTGGAAAATGCTGCTGTTGTGATGAGGTAACATTACACAGAGCCGAGTTTCTCCTGTGGCCCAGCAGAATTGCTGGAGCTGTGGGTGCCTGAAGGCTTCACCTCCAAGCACTGAAAAAAACCAAATTGCTTTGGAAACAATGGTACTGAAGTATCTTCTTACATGCTGGGTGCTGCCTGTTCCTCACTTCCACTACACTGCTGTGTGCCAAGGGCATCCAAGCAAAGGAAACAGGTGTGGGAGCAGCTTCCTCTGCGACTGGAAATGGGCTTCCCTGCAGTGAACTCGTTCCTTATGCTTCATGTCATGGAATCATGAGAACTGTATTTTTGGACAAAGAATTTATAAGCGGTCTTATGAGGGATTTTTTTTTTTTTTTTAAGGAGAAAAAAGGTGCAAGATTAAGTGCATATTTACTTGTCCCAGATCAAAGGTTTTGAACACTAAGGTCACTTTGTCTTGACTGGACCCTCCTCTGTCTTTGGGCAGTAGAACTTCCTGCCCTTTTTCTCTTTACCGTGTTACTGTAACTCTTTATTTCCCCTAGGAGAAATACCTGTACAAAAATTATAAGCAATTAATAGTTCAAGCCATAAAATCATGAGTGTGGGAAGACCTGCTTTACAAGTTTTAACATTTGTATGTAAAATGAAGTTTGTATTAAATATTTTCATGGTAGAAAGAATATTTAAACAAAGAAGTTCCAGTAAGATCTAAACCAGATTTAAAGGGATGTCTTTTTGTAAGATGCAAGTGTAATTGAATACCAGTAAGTAGATAATGGGTTTTTTTTTTAGGGGAGATGCAACAAATGATCCTTACAATTACAAATGGTTGTTCCTGCTATTTGAGGAAGTATTAATGCAGCATTACATGCAGCCGCCATAAATTATTGCAGTAGCAAGGCTAGTCGCATTTTCAAGACGTACCTCTCAGCTTGTCTCTTCATGATATCTTACAAAAGACCCATCCCTCCTTCCTATAGATTCCCTTCTAGAAAACTTTTCCTACTGCAGCTGTAACAAGTTTAACTCTGAGCTAAGAACCAGACTAAAATAGTGTATTACTTAACAGTTTCTGCTGGGCCTTCTGCTATTTTAATACTCTTCAGCCCATAATTACTGGGTGTCTCTGTTCTGAAGAACTAAGTGCTAAAGAATAATCTTTGGGGTAAGCTTATACGTGTGTTAACAGTTAACCCCGGAGTATTCAACTTGTGTACAGTACTTGATAGGTGTTTTATGACATTTGTACTCAAACTATGAGCCTTACTGAACATCTGTAAGTTTATTCATGACTTTTAAAAAAACGGAAAACTCTTAAGAAAGATGTTTACATGAATGATGTTTGCCCTTCCTTTCATGTTATGAATGGGGTTTTTATAGTGTGTTTGGGGCGTATGTGCAAGGAAGCAAGAGAAGTATTTCTGGGGAAAAACAGACTTGACAAACATTTGTAATAAGTGAATTTTAAAGATTGCTTTAATTGCGCTATGAAGGCAATGCAAAAATAAAATATTCAACAGAAAACCATTGTCTCTCCTTGTTATTTGTGAGTCACAGTTTGGGGCATCCTCTGACCTCTCCCTTTTCCTTGCGTCCTTTGTGACCACAGTTTTGCTGATGCACAGGAGCAGGATTTCATATGGTTAACACACATCTAGGCCACGTTATGTAAATAGTGAATGAACACCTGACACCACTTGTTGGTTTTTTCTGTCATCTCTGCTGCTTTTATTACTCCTCTTTTTCAATGCACATAACATGGGCTTCAGTTGTATTGCGGTATAGAAGAACATCCCTCCCAAAGTTTTGTTTTTAAGTATGGTGGATTTTCCTCTGATGCAGTGGGAAGGTGCAGCAGGGTGCCTTCCAGCCAGGTAACCTATTCCTCTGTCTCCTAATTCCATTTACATGTCCTGGTGGGTGAGTGGTGAGGAAGGGGCTGTGCTTTCAGTGCCTGCCTTGCCTTCCCCTCTGTGATCACAATTGGCTGAGGTAACTCTCCTGCCTGTGCTGGGTGTAGGTGTGCAAAGACTGTGCCCTCCCTTCTTTGCAAGGATGCAGAAATTACATTGCCACTTGAACCCTCACAGTCATAACGGGCTGGGAGGACGATGGGTGCTTGGTGTGCATTTGCAAGCTGTGTGGAAGATGACAGTGGGTTGTGGATGATGCCATGTGCTGGCTTCACCCAGCCTGGCTGTGTTCAGTCGTGCCTTTGTATAATAACCCAGTACACTGTGGAGGTACATTGGGTTTATGTAAAGAAATTATACCTAACCTGTGAGCTGATTTCTTAAAAATGTTTCAGGGATACATTCAGGTTTTAGTGGTGTGCTTTTTAGGATTTGGCTGGAGGTGCTGGGGGGATATTAGAATCATAGAATTGTTGAATCATCAAGGTTGGAAGAGACATTCAAGGTCAACCAGTGTGACCATCCACCTCCCACTAGCCCTGTAACCCCTAAACCACATCACCCAGATGCCTCTTGAACACCTCCAGGGATTATGACTTCACTGCCTGCCTGGAAAACCTATTCCAACACCTTACTGCCCTAACAGTGAAAATTTTTTCTAATACATAATCTGAATTTTCCCTGTCTCAGTTTAAGGTAATTTCCTCTGGTCCTCTCACTGCAGAGACAACAGGAGAGATTGATGCCCACCTTATTCGGGCCTCCCTTGAGGGAGTTGTAGAGAGTGATGAGGTTCTCCCTGAGCCTCCTCTTGAGACTGAACAACCCCAGCTCCCTCGAATATAAGATATGTTTTCTACACCTTTCATGAGCTTTGTTGCCCTTCTCTGGACACAATCCAGCACTTCAAAATCCTTTTTAAAGCAGGTGACACACAACTGAGCACAGCACTTGAGCTCTGGCCTCACCAGTGCCAAGTAAGGGGGATGAGCACTTCCCTAGTCCTGCTGTCTGCTCTATCCCAGATACAGGCCAGGATGTCCTTGGCCTTCTTAGCTACCTGGGCCCACAGTGGCTCATGCTGTATCAATGGCACTCCCAAGCTCTTCTGTCGAGCTGCACAGGTTCTTTAGCTCTTTCCAACAGAGAGTGGTTGCCAATGTGCCAGGAGGACCTTTGCCTGTCAATCTAAACAACTGATCACACAAGTCATGAACAATATGTACAGAGTTTCATGGAATCTTACAATCACAACATGGCTTAGATTGGGAGAGATCTTAGAGATCATCTAGTTTTGCTCCCCGACCACGGGCAGGAACGCCCTCCAACAGACCAGGTTACCCAAAACCCCATCCAGCCTGGCCTTGAACGCTTTCAGGGATGTTGCATCCAACAAGACCTCTGAGCAACCTGTGCCACTTTCCCCAGCTCACAGTATTGCACATGTATATCCGTGTGAAGCAGCACTTACAGCGGCGGGTGGGGGCAAACAGAGAAAAAAGGCTCAATTGCTGTGGAAAAGGGATGGCTGGAATGCCCAGTCCCGGCAGCCCGAGGAGGGTGTCCGGGGCGGGGCGGGAGGGGGCGGGCGGAGGAGACGTGTCCGTGCGTGGGGCACGGCACGGCACGGCACGGCGAAGGATCTCCGGGGCTCGCCGGCTTCTTTTGAGACAGGCTCGGGATTCATTTGCGGCCGCGGCCCTTCCCGGCCGGCGGGATCGGAACGGAACGAGGGGACACGGGAGGACACGGGAGACACCTGGAGCTGGAGCCGCTCCTGGAGAGGGCGTGCGGTGCCCGGCAGCAACCACGGGGAGTGTCGGGGCTCGGTGCTGGCTGCCTCAAGGGAGCAGCGGTGCCTGCCTGGAGAGGTGCGGAGCTTAACTTCCACATGGGAGAGATCCCGGGCACCCCCTGCGCCTCTGCGGGCAGCAGAAGCCCTGAAGGGAGAAGGTCGGCGGTGGTGTCTGAGGTGACGATCGCGCATTCTGCTCCAGAAACGTCGGGATTTGTGTCCCAGTCACCTGGCATACAGCAGCTCCGGGGATTTCCCAAAAGGCCGCTTGATTTGGGACACTGAGGAGCGAGCTCTGTGCTCCTGGTCCCGGCCCTGCGCACCAGCCGATGCGGGGAGATGATGATCCCGTCCCTTCTCTCTCTCCTGCCTAGGAACAGCCATTCTCCGACCCTGGAAGGCCGAGGTGCAGCTCGCCAGTGTCCGTGTTCGGGGGTTTATGTGGGAATCAGAGCAGAATGGATCGGTATCAATATTTCATCTTTAACCAGAGGAACATGGTCGTGCTGGGGATGTTCCAGATTGCCTTCAGCACCGTCTGTGTCACCAGTGGGTTCATAGATGGCATTTTCAGAACAGAGTCTCAGCTGGGCAAAACCAGAGCTCCCATTTGGGCTGGCATGGTAAACTTCTACTATATTTTCTATGTTTTGTTTTGCAGAGTTTTTGGTGGGTGTTTTTTGGTTTGGTGGTTTTTTGTTTTTTTTTTTTTTTTTTTTTTTTGTTTTTGTTTTTTTTTTCCCCACTGCTCATATTGGGGGTGGGAGGGAAGCCAAGATTTCTTGCCAGATCTTCTCTTGTTTCATGCTTTGAACTCAGTTAATAAAAGCTTCCTTATAATGATACAGGCAGAAGAGTGAAAGCAGACTTTCCTCTGAAGGATCTAAAGTAAGTAGAATTCGCTGTCGAATGAGGAGACTCTGACTCGGAAGGCTGCTGAGAGTAAAACTCTGGTTTATTCAAAATACACTGCTCTTTTATACAGAGCTTCATGAGGACCATTGGTTCTGAAGTGAAAACAACCTAACCATTGGTGCAGAGTGCTTGACGCAGAGTGATAAAACTTCACTATAAACAATGTGAACAACAAGAGAGATAAAAAATTATTTACATTCTTCTCCAGCTCTTTCCCAGGCTTCTGCCTGGCTAGAAACTCTCTGTTCCTCTCTTTGACTGAATCTGAGACCCACAGAATTCTGCTGGATAATGTAGAAAATGGGACATTGTGACAATTGACAGGTTGGTTTTTTTTGCAGAAGAAGAGTGACCACAGAGAGGCCACCAAAGATTAGGAAGGGAACACCTCATCCCGTGTTCAGGTAGATTAACATCCGGGTGCTGATCTCTGTCCCACAGCACAGTGCCTCTAATTTTGGTACTGCAGCGAGGAGTGGGCAAGAGGCATCCCTGCTCCCTGGCATTCAGCACCTGCTGAGCCATGCTGCAAGGAAATTACACTGAAGAGTTCTCTCCAGTGCAGAGGCTGCTTGTCTCCTTTCATTAGTATCTTTCTTTCCTTTACAAGATGCATATGGACTTGGCAAAGCAACATGCATTTTTAGCACATTAAATCAGACTTATTCAATCAGTTTCATTATTTTGCCCGACTCATAAAGCTCTGGTCAGCTGTAGCAAGGCTGTGTGGGTAGCAAGTGGGCAAGATGCATGTCACCCATGTTCTGCATCCAGGAGACGTTACAGAGGAAAACAGAAGAAATGAGCAGTTCTCTTCCCATTTCTGATGCAGCAGTTACTCTGATCCAAGCATGGAAAACACTTTTCATTACTATTCGTTACTCTGTAGCAGTTTGTCTTCTGAATCTGATACTAGTCTCCCAAGCTACCATCTCCTGTTGTGCTCTGCAGGTGATGGGAGTCCCAGGCGTCCTGGCTTTGTTCTCCACACAGAGGAAGAATCCAGTTCTTGTAAGCTAGAGGGGCAGATGGGTGTTTGTGTGTATGGGGCAGGGGCAAAATGTTGGGGAAATCAAAAACAGTTTGAGTAAGGAATGAGCTGACGCGTCCTCCTGCAGAATTAAGAGCTTATTGCTTTGAGTTATCTTCACAAAAGCTGTTGTCTTCATAACCAAGAGGAGGAAGCAGTGTTACCTTGCTTTCTGCTGCAGTAGACAGGGCCTAATAAAAAGCAAAATTCTGTAAAAACACTTCATCTCAATGCTTTTCTTTTGGTGGTCCTTCATGTTGTTAAGTGCTGTGTACACTAAAATATGAAATGAGTTAAGAGGTTTGCATTTCCTGCATAGGTTTCTCTGGATGTGTAAACTCCAAGGGAGGATATTGTATGCAAATTAGAGGTCTTTAAGTAGCGCCTCTAATTAATATTCAGGACTCAGCTGTAACTCAGAAACTCAATGTTATGAAAACCTCTACTTCTCTTTGGCTTCTAAGTGGCTGTCGCTGCTGGGGATGCTGCACTGTTATGGTAGGTCAAAGGCTACCTGTAATCCTCGTATTTGCCTAAGGACAGCTTTGATTCCTGCTCCCCTTCTTTTTCTCACTGAAATTCTCTGGCTGTCTAGGTGAATGTACTGATAGTTGCTTCCATAATCTCTTGTGTTGCCATCTTCATTGTAATGATTTATAGCTCTTTCACACTGAACTATGGTGAAGAGGAGGAGCTGAGTTCTGCCCCAGTCCATGTTATCCATACTGTAAGTATTGATATCATGATTATTACTGGGAAACATGCCACCCTTAATCTGCAAGCAGTGCCAGATGTGGTTTACAAACAGAACCAGACTTCTAGGAGGGGTGACACTAGGTCAGGTTGGCTGCTTTTGCTTCTTAGTGCAAAGGGGTGGTGTGGGCTGAGCCATGAAAAAATACTAGTGCTGGTCAGGGAAAGGTGCTGAGAGTATCTCTGGTCTGGTTTGAGAAAGTGGTTGCAAGGCTTGGATCCTTCCAACAAGCACCTCAGGTGATGAAGTTACAGCAGTTACAGGGTCAGCTGATTAAACCTGCTGTTAGTTCAAGTGTATCCTCCACAGTAAAGCTGTAGAGAAGGAATGAAGCCCTTTTGTATCTCCAGTCTACAAGTAATTGCTTGCTGTGGGAGTAAAGGCATTTCAGAGAGATGAAGCTGACCATTAGTTTATTGCAGGACAAATCAAAATGTCAGGCTGCTATAAGGTGCAGTGCAGCAAAACAATTTTTCTCATATTCAGTGTAAAGAAGAGCAGCCATTCCTTGGGTTTTTACTCATTGTCAAAGCTATTTCCAAACCCAATGCTATTGCATAGCATCTCACATTTAATCAGCAGCCTTATTTCACTGCTTGCTCTGTTTGAGGTTCATACTTGGTTTGTTTTCCAGAACACAGAAAAATCTTACATAACACTAACTACAGATCAATCTCCTATCATACAATCACAGCATTCTGGCAGTTATTAGATTATTTTTTGGTGGAGAGTGTCACTTTTTGAATATGCCTTTACTATCTCTTGTTCTTGCAGAGGTTTATACTCAATAAAGTTGTCAAGGGTGCTAACATAGCCATGCTGGCTGTGTCCATCTCCAGTGCCTTTTCTGTGTTGGCCATGGCTTTCTTGGGATGCCAGAACCTTCCATGCTGCTGCTGCTATGACAGAGTAACTGTGATGGTGAGTGAGGAGCCCAGGGCACAAGAAGTTTATTTCTTCTGATTATTGCTGGGACAGGAAGAAACCAGCTAGAAGGTGTGTTTTTCTCCTATAAATCTAGTCTTAGCCTCTACCTCAATCATACAGGGCTAATTCTAAGCAATTAAGTGGGATATTAGGAGGGTTTTATATTTCTTATATTTTTTCCTTTAAAGGAAAATATCTCCCTCTTATTTACAGTATCATGTAAGATCTAATATAAGTTATTTCTATTTTCCAAACCATTTGTGCTGAAGTTACTCTGGCCCCATTTCCCATAAATTCCTGCTATCCTCAAAAACTGTTCCACTCGTTTTTAAGCCATCAGTTGCTTCTGATGCAGTGTTACAAAGACCTACTGGTACTTACACACTGGAACTTCAGTAATAAAAGTATCTCCAGTGCTGTGTGTGAAGTGTTGGGGTGCTGACATAAGTAATTTACTCCTCATTCATAAGGACTCTGCCTCAAGTGATGAGGCCCAAGGCATGTCTGCTAAGTGAGCACAGTAAATAAATAAATACCAACTGCTTCTTTACTAGAGCAATTAGGATGCTGTGTTATTAAACATGTACATCCAACCATTTGGTTTGGTAAGGAATTAAAGGGTGCAGGCCACAGGGCAGCTGTTCTGACTAAAGACAGAGTGAGTAACATAAAACTGCTTTAAATCTCCAAACTAAAACGTTTTAGGAGACGTGGACTGCACAGACTTTTCAAATAAGTTCAGGTGTATCTTCTTGAACAAATTTCCAGGTGAGGTACTTGTGGTGCTGTTTTTTTCATAGGAATGGTTGCAGCCTAGTGAGGACCAAAATCAGGCTGTGGAAATGATTTGTGCTGTACTAAGTGAATAACTTTTCTTCCTCCATGTAACTGGATGATCACCAGGGATGAGGAAGGAACATTCTGAATAAGGTTTAAAATCCTGATAACCAAGATCCTGATAACCAAAAGGAACTCAGGATTTTGTGCAAATGTTTGTCTATACCATGTTTAATGGTTTTTGCCTTCTTTTCTCACACAGGCTATGGGAGGAGAATTTTTAACTTCACAGATCGGTTTCCCGCCCAGGATGTAGATGCAGAAGAAGACACATCCAAACCTCCATCATATATCAGAATGACTTGAAAAAGTGGCCGAACATTTTGTTCAAATGTGGCAAGAGATATGGAATAAGTTCTTAATCTTTAAAGATGGTTATGCACTTTTCCTTGGCCCTTTGAAAAACACACACAGAGCAAACTAGTGAATACCCAGCACTGGGCAGAGATCACAGTGCAGAGGGAAAGATCTACAGGTGATTTTGAACTTTCAGACTTTGTATAGTGAAAATACCTCATTACTTCTGGAAAGTGAGAGCATTTTTTTCTCTGGCCTAAATCATATCATTTCTCTAGAATTCATCATGTAATTTGTGCAGCAGTGCTAGCCTTAGGCATTTCTATATTAAATACAATTCCTTTTTCTTCATCTGCTATCTCGATTTCTCCCTCTTACTGCATGAATTATTGGGATGATAATGAAGGACACCCTTCATCCTTGAGCTTCAGAGTGTTTTCCTTTTCTTCTTGGTAGGAGTGGGGGCAAATAAAGTTTTTGATATGAAACCTTAAAAGCGCCATTCAAACCAACCTCTGTCAAAAGGTGGCTTCTGTGGGGTGTACATGTGTTAGTACAATTAGTTTTAGCACTGAAGTGTAACTATAGAGTGTGGCAGGAACTGGACCTGCAGTAGCTCCTCTTATGAAGTAACTTGAATACTCTAAATTCAGTTCAAATTTTTCTATTTTGACTTTGTAGATTGAAAATTTTAAATAAATCCTTATTTTAGGGCCTGTTTTGCTAAAATTTATTACAGATCTATACAAAGGTGCTTTGTTTTATTTTCTCTAGGGGATATTTTGGTCCTCTAGACCAAGGAACTACAGATTCCAGTCAGGTTCTGTCATCTCCTGAAGTACATAGAATTCCCATATGTACTTTATGTTTCACTTTTAGGTGAACATCAAGTGTTTATCTTGCCTGCAGGCCTTGAGCAGAGAGTGGTAGATGACTTAACCCATGATACAGATTAACACAGCATTTGAACAGGGCCTGGAAGATAAGTTCCCATCTTGAGCAAGTGGGTAGTAGGATAAGTCATACACACCATGAGGCATAGAACTCCAGGAATGACCTCGTATCAAACTTCTCTAATTGCAGCAAGTAAGATGCCTTTCATGGTCCTAAGAGAAAAGTTGTTCTTGATTTATATTTTTTCTCTAAAGATTGAAGTTCTTTTCATAATGCTGGTAAAGGAACTCCAATACCTAAATGATTTTAAACTAAAGAGGGTGGGTTTAGACTAGGTATTAGGAAGAAATTATTTGCTGTAAGGGTGGTGACACACTGGCACAGATTGCCCAGAGAAGCTGTGTATGCCCAATATCACTGAAAGCTCCAGGCCAGGCTGGATGGAGCTCTGAGCAGCCTGGTCTAGTGGAAGGACTGTGGTAGAGGGGTCAGGATGAGGTGATCTTTAAGGTCACTTCCAAACAATTCTACGGTTCTGTGATGATTCTATGAAGATATTACAGCTTTTTTTGTAATCTGGAACAGAGAAATACTCTTAGCCACATATTGAGGAAGTCTCAGTGAACTCTGGCACCCCTCTGTGTGTAAGGTGCTTGCCAAATGTATCTTTTGCTGACTTTAACCATTAAAATTATTAATGTCTGTGAATATCTTAGCTCAAGAGAGCATCCCTAACCACTAGGCTCCCTCCACAGCCCTTCTCAGGTCATGTATTGCTTCCTCCACTGCCCAGATTCAGCCAGAGGAGCTGTCCTCATCTTTGGGTACTTGGACCTGCAGGTCCTACTCTGGCAACTGGAGACTTAATTATGTGCCACAGTAGCCAAATTCTTCCTGACTTTGGCTCTAAATACCTTCATTACCTTGTATGCAGAGCCACAGAAGGGTTGAGGTTGGAAGGGGTGTCTGGGGATCGCCTAGTCCAATCCCCTCCTATGCCAACCAAAACACAGCTGGTGTCTTGTTCATTTGAAGGTATTAATGTTTGAATTTCTTTAATATATTAATTCAAACGTTGTGATTCAAAATGGGATGCTGTGCTTTTTCCTCTGAAATAGTGCCTGCCAACAGGCATCAAAGCACTGAGTGTGACTGCTCTCCCTGTCCTCAGATGCTTCTGGCACAGCTCCACACCATCTGCAATGAAATGCTGGGCAGTTTCTTCTTGTTTAACACAAATTGCTGTTCTTGTACATTAAAAGTAAGTCAGACACCCTCAGAGGGTATTTGGCTCACTAATAGCTGAAAGCAGCATGGGTCTGGTCAGTCTAGACTGATTTTGCATTGCTACAATGCACTGATCAGCCTCTGCATAATTTCTGGGAGTTATGGTCACATTCAGAATTGCTGTTTCATAACCAGTCATTACAGTGTGATATACTGAGCATACTTCAACAGCATTTGACTGCTGGTTGAACAGAGCAACTTGCTTTTACTGTGAGTGTGCAGAGCAACACGTCACCAGTCCTTTTCCAAATGCTATGCTGTTTCCATCGGCTCAGGAACATAATTCCTGGGATGAGGGTGGCAGTGCCACCATGGCTGCTGCAGGCCAGGTCCTCCTGGCACAGCTCTGGGGCACAATCCAAGTACCCAGCCTGGCTTTGAAAGCCTTTGATGTGGCATTTAGTGACAGGCGTGGCAGGTACCTGTTTGGCTGTGAAACAGCCTTAGCAGCACATACTGAAGTCTTAGGTGTAAAAGAGAAGTATGCTCTATGCTGCTTCTGAATAAAAACATATGCAATTGATTTATCAGCAGCTATAAGATGGCTTATTTCTTACACAGTCCTTCCAGTGGTGCAACTATTGCAGATCACTCATAGACACACTATTTCAACAATTCTTTCTACAAAAGTGGGAGTTTCCAGAAAAATGACAGCTGCAGAATGGAAATTGGTGGAAACTGATTATCAGTTTAATGTTTCTCCTCTTTGGTTAGTGTTGCAGAAAATATATTCCTAACTGCAGTTTCCAGTACTATATTTAGCAGCCCATTCCACATGTGAGGTGCAGTACCTTCCCAGAGCTTGCCTGCCTCTCCAGGGATATTCCATGGCTTGTGTCACCCCCAGCATTCACTGGTGGTAAGTCAGGTGGAGTTATGGACCCCCGTTATGGACCCAAGCATTTTGTGCTCACCTTGTGTCAGCATTGCTTGTATTAAGTCAAAGACAAGGCATTTACATCAAAAAAACTTCTTTACTTCAAGCAGGCTGAGACAAACATTACCCTATTCCCTGACACACAGAACAAGGTGCACAGTATCCACAGGTGGGTAAAGGCAAAGCCTGCCAGCCTCTTCATTAGCAGTGGCCAGAGTTAATCACCCAGTGTAATCAGAAGGTTAATCAGGGAAGCTGATTCTGGAAGTTAATGTTCAACTAAGGGCAAAGAATTTTTTGAAGTAATTTCCCCAACAGAAGGGGCAGGAGGTGCAGAGGAAGAGGAAAAGAGAAGGGATCTTCATCATGGTGAGGATCAGGAAACCCTTTCAGACACTTCTTTGACAACAAGCCTGTCTGGGTTAAAAAAAAAAAAAAAAAAAAAAAAAAAGAGTTTATTTATTTATTTATTTATTTATTTGTATCTGAATTTTTATTTTTCATAGATATATGTTTGGTGCAGTTCCTCCCCTGTGCTGCTGAGATGATGGTGCTCAGGGTCAGGGCAGCCTTTGCTGGGCACAAATGTGTTTCCCCGTTGTATCCCGTTTTCTCACTGCCTTTTGCCAGCAAAGTCACAGCTGTGTGTCTCCATAGCCCACCCTGTTTTTGCATGAAGTAGTTGGAAATTGAAGTAAATCTTCACTATAGGTAGATGAACTGGGCTAAAATATTTTGAGTAGGGAACATTGAGTAGGTCTTGCTCATTAAACATGCAAGGGAAAGGCAGACTACAGAAGAGAGCCTTACAAGAGCTGGGAAAGGACAGGAGTGGTACTAATTAATCAAAATACAGATATGTTCTGAAAACAGGAAGTGGTATTTGCCTGCAGCTGAGAGGAGGAATATTCCCTTTTTTTGGAGTCAGACTGTGTGATTTCTGGTTTCCTAGGCTCATAGAACCACAGACTTCTTTATGTTGGAAAGGACCTTTGAGTCCAGCCACTGATCCTTACCAGTCCCTTCCAAACTGATATATGATTCCATGATTCTCCAGCACCAACAATGTGTAAGTAAGGGGAAAAGTTGTTGAATTTACCTCTAACTTGAGGAGGGAAGCCCATTAAAGCAAACAGCATTTCCCAGCCCTCCCTAGGTGCTTCTCCATAAAAACAGGAACTGCTTTGTCCTGCACCTCTTCAGGTCCATCTAACCCAAGCACATTATCCAACTGCACAGTTTTACTTGCACTTTCTGAGCTGCTGCTTCCTTCCTTCCTTGGTAGTTACAGCTTCCAAGTTACAGAAATGTGTGTTCTCTTTCATTGACTTGACATTTATGCCATCTTAATTTAAAATTACTTTGTTTCATGATTCATGTTTCATCCTCTGGCTTCTGTCCACTACATGTTTTTAACAACACTCATCACTTTCTCCTTCAGTCAATATTAGTTGCTATTATATATTATGTTTATGGTGGAACAGTACATGCACATATTGCTAAGCCCTTGCCCCCTGCCCAATAACCGTAAGACTGATTCAGGATGACAGATGGTGTTTTCAGCTTCCAAATTGTTTACTCTAAGCATATCTTATATAGCAGTTGCTTCTGTGTTTCTAATTTTGTCTGATGCAGGCAGCCTCCTAACCCCAAATGACCCAAGTTTTTGCTTCATTCAACAGTTCTTCACCCATAAAGCCTGAGAGCTGGAGCCTTTAAAGCAGGTGCTAGAGCTGGAATCCCACCAGTGTCAGGTATCACACTTCAAAAAGAGTTGGAATTCCAGACAGCACTCCCCCCACATGCTGCATTATGATGGAAAAGTATGCATGCCTATGGTGATGTGAATATACATGTTTTCTGACCATCATTTTAGATATATAGATCGAATATATTTTATAGATCTTTCTTTACCCTCTACTATCATCATGCATATAAATTAAATATACCTACTTAATGACAGATGAAAGTATTGAAATCAACTCTTTCAGGTCAGATGCAATTTGACAAAAGCACTGTGAGCCTTGAAGGAAAAGACAAGGGCTCCCAGCGTTTGCGCTTTTTAACAGCAGCATCACAGTGACTCAGATATTAGCTCAGAATTGAATCTAGCACTCCAGGGTAGTCATGAGGATCCACAGGAATTTGAAAATCCTCTCCGATTAGCACATGCTTTTCTTAATCTACAGCTGAATCTTTGGTTGCTCAAGGCAGAAGCTCTTCACTGTCTCTATTTTGAGTGTGCTAAAAATACATTGAAGTAAATAGAAAAGCTGTTTCATGTATTTTAGAGTCAGTTTAGTGTTTTCCTTTGTTTGCCCTTCCTTAACTGAAGAAAGGTCTGAGGGACAGAGGACTATGAAGGGCGAGGAGCACCTCAAAGCCCCTTGAGCATTTAGAGTGTTTTCCTGTACAGGAGTGGGTGCAAAGGATGTGGGGATGACCAGGCTTTGGAGAGGATAAATGGTTCGCAAATGCAGCTTCTGCTTTATGGCTCCTGATTTAGAGGCCCAGTGTGATGTTTTCAGCAGTAAATCACTAGGTATTTTCAGAAAGAGGGAGTTTAGCATATTGCCTCACACCAGTCTTTTTCCTGTCCGTGACCTTCCCAAAGGGGCAGTGCAAACAGTAAAAAATAATAATAGAAAAGGAAGTACTGAGCTAAGATCAGGGTCTTATGACTCTTAGTTTTCATATGCTAAGAGCTTCACCCAGTCTGGCCTTAAACACTTCCAGGGATGGGGCATCTACTGGTGCAACCTGTGACAGTGCCTCACCACCCTCAGAGGGAAGAATGTCTTGCTAGTAAAAGCAGCATATTTGTTAAATGCAGGCCAGGGAGAGGATTATACTCTATTCTGGTGGGGTTTTTTTTGTTTTTTGGGGTTTTTTTTTGGTTTGGTTTGGGTTTTTTTTGGTTTTTTGTACTGATCACTGGTATTGCTGGGAAATTTGTTTTCCATTAATTTAAAATGATTAGCTAAGGATTCAGTAATTTGTGATTCACATTAAGCAGTGATGCTTCAGGGAGGCAGGAAACAATGTACATCAATAACATCCCCCCAGGGATTGTGCACCTCAGGGAATGTCCCTGGATGACCAGTAGTTCTCACTTGCCTTTCTTTGAGCTCTGGAAATAGCTTCCAGAACTACAAGGAGCTGCCTTCAGCATGTGCTTCTCTTTGGCAGGTGGAAGGCTGCGCAGAGCCCAGGGAATCCCAGAACACCTCTGGAAACCAGCAGCCATTCTTCCTCTCTCAATGCCTCCTCACAGCCCTCACTGGCTATGCCATTCAGCTGGATAAATGAGGCCTCCTTTGGGCACCCTGCATCAACAGAGGAAGGAGAAAAAATCCCACATCCTCAGAGACATCCTCAGAATACTGCTATTTTTTTGTGAGCCCTAGAATAATGACAACTTCTAATGTTACTTATTACTTCAGATTTAAGATTATGTGTTGGTGCTGATTTCCACAGAAAAACCAGACTGCCATTTAAAAGTAATGTTACTAATACTTTTAAATAACATATGGCTCTACATTTATTTGAGAATTGTAATGTTAAGCAACATCAGTCAATGACCTCAAAAGCAGGACTCTGGGGGAAAAAAAATAATATTAGAATTATATTCTGGTGAAGTGAAAATACAGAGGGGACAAGAAATATGACTTCCAACGAATTTATAAAAGTTAAGAGGTTTTATTTCTGAACAAGATGAAACTAGAAGAAGAGTGATGGAAAAGTCCTTTAGGGTCTTGATTTACATCCAAGTAATCACTATTTCTGTAACTGTTGTTTCACTTCCCATTCTTCTGGAATCTGAAATAAATATTGAACATGCCTCTGAATCATCAGATGGGTGCTGCAGATGCCTTAAAATCACCCAGAGTCATTGCAAGAAAGCACTGACAGTACTCCACGTATTCTGACAGTCTGTTTTGTAAAAGTTGTCACCCACACAGACAGAAACTAGAAAGTCCTTTAACTCCCTCACAGCATTTTTTTAACCATATGAAGTTATGTTATAATTTCTTTTATAATTATTGAAAACAAGTGGTAACAGTTAGTGGCAAAGCCAGTTTATTAGTTTCTGGGATTGTGCCTTGCCTGCCCCCAAGACATACAAAAGAACACAACTTTACAGGCCGGTTAAAGTGAAAATACACGTACAAAGCATTCGGTACTCTGACATCCATCCTGTGGGCAAAACATGCCCACTGAAAGCCAGGGTGCAACACTGAATCCTGCATTACTGACCACACTGCCTCCATGGAAGAACCATTAAAACATGCTTTGTGCTCAACATGGAATTACACACTTGAACACCATTTGCACATAATTTTCATGACATGAGGGCCCTTATTTACAAGTTGTGATAACTCATATAAAACTTAACAGATGTGCAGGTGTTTCAGATAAAACTTAACAGTAACACTGCAGTTACATGATTTTCTTACCCCAACCCCCAACCTGACTGACTTTAAAATTCTTAGTTCTGGGATATTTTTATTAAAAACAAACAAACAAAACCTCAAACCAACCAAACAAAACAAAACAAACAAAACCAACAAAACAAACAAAAGCCATGAAAACTTGCTGACATATTTAGTATACAAATAATTAAGAAGGATCCTTCTCAGAAAAAGGATTAAGTACATGAGTGAAAAACAATCTGTCCAACAGGACTGTAAACCATATTTACTTACCACAGTATAAACATCAATTTAAGAGCAATAATTTTCTTAAAGAAATCATTAAGGACACTAGTGTTAAAAAGGTGATTTGTTTCTGAAACAACTGTAAATTCTAGTCATGTAAGGTTCAGAGTGAATACAAAAGCTTCCTTTTACAAATGTTTCCTAAACAACAATACTGTCACAATTGAAGCAGCTTTATACAGGAAAAAGTACTACCTTTTGTTTAGATTCTTTTTAAACATCTTAATCATATTGGACCAAATTAAATGCTCTTTCAAAAGAGTCAATGCATTTTTAGAAAAAAGTCAATGCATTTTTTTCTGTATAAGTTGTAATGAAATTAAATCTTAAGAATTGTAAGAGTTTACATAATAACAGGTATCTTGTTTCAGTAATTTGTTTCTAACACAAACATTAGGATGGCAGCTTCTGAACTAGCCCTTCCATTGAGTTTCCAGTAAGCAACACATGCTACACATTGCAATTAAAAAAAAAAAATCTTCATTTATACATCAAAAACTAAGTCACAAAACACTGTTTGACATGGCACATGAATGAAGTCATAGATTGCATTCTATGGCTTACATTTCACTTTATGCAGCTAATATGCAACTTAGCACCATTTTTATTAAGAAATTGATCTTCAGATAGAACTGAAAAAAAGCAGTTGCAACTATGAGAACACAGAAAAATGTGGTCCAAGAGGAAGAATTTCCCTCATCTAACCCCTGTTAGCTCACATTAGTAATGCCAAGGATGCCCTACATATAGTCACAACATTATACATGCAGGTTTTCCCTCAAAAATCTGTAACAAATGATGTAGTTGGTAGATTTACTCCATATTTCAAGACCCAATTTAGTTTGTGTTTGGAAATATTTTAAGACTGTACCATACTCCTAAGCATTCCCATTCCTGATACATGTTATCAAGTTGGCTTTTCAAGATATCTGAGAAGCACTCACAATCTCTTAAAGCCCTGCACACCCTATCTTTGAAAACCAGTATGCTTTTTTGCAAATTCACCCAATCTTTTACTTACTCAACTCAAATACAGCACATTCAGAAATATATAACTTAATTTTAGTAAGATCAGAGCACACATGGATAGAGCCCCAATTTTACCCCAAATCCTGTGCTACAGTACTTTCCACAGTATGGGTTAACATAACATAGTTTGGTATCACATGCTAATTATGAAAAATTAATAAAGTTTTAAGTATCAAATAACTGTCTAGAGGTAGGGACAAGTTAGTCTCCCTAGTCTCCATTACCACTGCCATGAAGAAACAGACCAAGTTCATAGTGGAATGACAGGCCAAAACCTAGCAATTCACACCGACACTGGAAGCCCAAACTGACAGACCTGTTTCTTTTGCTTTTATAATAAAAAGGTACCTGCTTTCTAATTTCCTACCAGCCACCTAATATTCCTTCATATGCCAAAAATCTCCCCACTTGCTGACCCAAAACCCAAGTTCCCTGGTTGTCACAAAAGGCTCTTTCTCCTACATTATTCCAACACAAGTAGCAACCAAAAGTAAACTGGTACACTAGAGCTCAACTAGGATTGCTTTGTCAAAACTTTACAACGTGAGTATGATCCCATATATTTATAGTGAAACTTTAGTAATTTAGAAAGTACAATTACAAAGTGCAAGAGCATAAGATGGGCACATCTACACCAGGAAAAATTAAAATAAAAAGCACATTAAAGTGCCAAAGACATTTGCTGTAGCTGCTACCAAAACCTGTTAACTTCGCCAAAGATCAAAATTTTGAAGCACTTGCAAACAAGACAAGGTGATAGCCAGTGACAATGTTACCTAACACCAGCAGGATGTGATAGGTTTTGGTTCAGGCTTTATATGTATTTCATCATGATCTGGGGGTTGACTAAGCATTAATGGCTTGTGACTCTTAAGCTTGTGAGCCAGTGTCATGAATATGGCCTCCACATGGTCATTGTCATTGGGGTTCTTGGCAGAGGTTTCAAACAATGGCATGCTGTGAGTGTCAGCAAACTTCTGGGCCAGGTCCGTGGGCACCTGAATAGCACTTCTCAGGTCACATTTATTTCCAACCAGAATCCGTGGTATATCGTTGGCAAGAAGGTGCTGTTTGCATTCCTCTATCCAGGATGGCAGGCTGTGGAAACTGGCAATGTTTGTCATATCATACACAAACACCACGGCATGGACATTCCTGTAGTAGTGCTGCACCATGCTCTTCCTGAAGCGCTCCTGGCCTGCAGTATCCCATAGCTGTATCTGAAAACAGAAAGAGAAGAAGAGGAAAAATTGTTTTATTACTCATGTTGGAAAATAACACAAATTACCCATAGCAAGAAGAGTTACATGATTACAGAAATCTACTCTTCTGAGTTAAGCATACTGACTAGTTGGTGCTGAAGAAAATGGTTGCATTCACACAATTTCAGCTCTGACTTTCAAAGCTTCTCAAAAGTGAGGCCAGGAGGAACGATGACACGTGAGAGAAAATACAAATTTCTGAAAGTTTATTGGAGCCTGTACTTTTAAAGATTTTTATTAAAATAAATCTTGAAGTCTTGTCAATAGCACTTTCATTTGAAAATTAAATATGCGTTACTTTCAATACAACTCTCAGCTGACGTGATTTTCATTATTGCCAAAAATAATCTCATCTTCCCTAAAATTCTGCTGTTATCATGATGTTAACTGCCATGTGAAAGTGGGAAGAAATCAAACCATGCTTGATTTCAACATCACCAACAAAAACAGGACAAAGATATCTTTCTCTGCAGTGTGTTGGAATCAAACCCTCCTGTGATGAATATGTAACTTGCTTTAGTGCTTTAACTGCGACCATACTATGGTTTGTAGTATCAAGGCATGCATCAAAGGAAAAAATAAAAAAAAAAAATAAAAAAAAAAGGAAAAAAAAAAGGAAAAAAAAGGAAAAGTAAAAACCTCCTGTTAACATGTGATTATAATTTCCAGGTCCACACCATTCTGTCCAAAACAGACTGAACACAGGTGCTATAAGCACAGTCAGAATAGAAAGACATTCAGCAGAACTGAAATTCCTTCTAATTTCTGGGGTCCAGATTGAAACAAAATAAACAAGCTTTGTAGCACCAGCAGATGTAAGCAAAATAGCTAATAGAAATTTTAAACACATTGATCATCCTGTGTAATGGAAGCCTGGAGACCTCAGACATGTAGAGAATGCTAGAGAATTGTGGATGGTAATGTTTACTCAAACTTGCTCTTCAGGAGGTAAGAACAGCAATGCACAGCAGTCAGAACCCCTTCACCTACACACTGCATTACCTGTACACTGTCAGAAATAAACTGGTGTGTGGCTCTATCACACACACCTTAGTGATAATGAAACATCTGAAAGACATTTGATTTTTTGGGAAAAAGCTGAGTCCTAGCTTCCTGACTGTCTTGTATAGCTGATCGCTGATGGCTGAGGCAGTTTGAGTAGTACTTTGGTTTTTGAGCAGAAAGGCTTTTGTCCCTAGGAATGAAAGGAGTTCTCCTTGAGATTCAGAACTCAAGGAATACTACATGCTCTGTAAACAATGATGATAAATTTGAAATTTAATCTGTTCTCATGAAAGTCACAGCCACTATGTAATTGTTGAAATTGTTCTCCCTTTACCATAGCTCTGCATTCCTTTGATCCAAATGTTTCAGTAAAACTTCTTTAGAAATTGCAAGTATCTTGAAAATTGTCTTGTTTACCACTTTAACCAGTGACTTTTTATATTAGAAAAAAGGAAGCCCAAGTGCAAGGGAAATCTGCTAAGAGCAAGAAGATACATCAGTGATAGAGAGGACTACAGTATCAAATAAAGTTGTTTTGAAAGCTACAACAGTGGAAATATGGTGAAACTGAATAGAAGCAGATGTAAAGTCTTGATACCAGTGACTGACAATAAGGACTTTTTCTTTAAAAGCAAAGGGTTCATCAGGTTGGAAATTATTAAAATCCAGATCCACGAGTCAATCATAGGATGTTATGAATCAGTCATGTGACAGACTGAAGAAAAAAAGAGTAAAAGATGTTTCCAATGGTGTGACTTTTTCTGCAATATTATGTTCAACCCTGGTCATCCATCCTCAAAAAAAATTCAGACTAGAGCAGGTGGGAATGACAGCTACTGGTTGCAACAGGGGAACTGAGAACATCACGAGAATATCAGAACAGCTTGGCTTTTGTAGCCTACTCTAGTTCTCTGCAGCTTTTGATCCAGACACTTAGAAACACTCGTGTCTGTGCGCTGTCTCTGAAAGGGTCATTAGGATTGTTAGGAAAGGCAAGGAAAGTTTCCCTGGCTCTGATCCCACGAAATGGTACCCAGTTGCAATCTGTCTCATTTTAGAGTAAACCCCCTCTTTTTGCCAATGGTATTACAGTCTACACACAGCTGACAGCATCTCCATGAAGCTACACAATCAGACTAAACAGTCACCCATGTTTGGGTAAGATTCAGTCACCCACCTAGGTGAGACAAACTTCCAGTTCTGTGCACTTATAAAACATCATAAAGTCAGGAGACTCATAGAAAATGTTCATGAATTTGAGAAATTAGAGGAAAAAGAAGTGCAGGCTGAAGCAATCCTATGTATAGACAATACTATGTTAAGGAATCACAGATATAAATCTTGGAAAATGCTATTATCAAATTAATTTAAGGAGGGAGTTGATTTTCACAGGCAGCTGTGAGCTTACAATTCTCTCCCCATCTTATTCACAGAGCAGAAATCGGTCATGCTTCAATCAAGCAGAGATTGAAGGGCTGCAGGGGTGCATTCGTCACCTGAAGAGCCCCCGGGCTTCGGCTGAACTTTGTGTTCCAGCAATAAAACCATGCTGAGAAATGTGCGCTGTAACAAATTGTGCTGGCAAGTGTACTGCCAGCCTTGGGTAAAGATGGAGAAATTAAATTAAAGGTTTACATAACTTGCAAGTGAAGCTTAAACTACAGCTCTTCCAAAATTTCATTTACATGCAGCATTCAAGCTTGAAGAGCACTATCAACAGAGTCATTTCGACTGAGAGGAAAATCCCTTTCCCAATGTTGAAAACTACACACTTGAGAAGTTTCTTTTTTCCTTGTTCAAGTGAACTTGAGGAAATGGATCCATTTCTGCCTCTCACCCCAAGTATTTTCTCTTCTGAAAAACAACATTGAAAATGTTCACATTAATGGGTGTGCACTGATGAAGTAACATCAAGATTACTATTTCACTGTTAGTCCAGTAACACCCATCTTCAGAGGACCACAGTTTTTATAATAGCCCTTTAAAATATGCAGTTTGAATGTTTGGTTTAACAGCATAACTCAGCTAATAAAAATGTACAGAATCACTTGGTCACATTCCCTAGGAAAGACAAATGGCGTAAAAAATATTAAATACACTGACTCAGCTATCACACTCCACCTTCTGATTCTGTCATGTGGTCCAGAAAGGCTCTTTTCTAAACAAAGACTCACTTTGTATGTGTGGTTTATAACACAATGGTAAAAACATAACTGGTCTCCTCTAAAAAGGGAAAAAAATTGCAATAGCTCAAAGGTACAGAACATGCCATCTGGACTTTCTTATTTAAATTTCATTTGTGCTTTGCTTTTTAAATGTAGTCAGTGAAGACTGACATAATTGTTTTCTTCAATTTTCAATGCTTAGATCAACTGAGGAAGAGGAAAATTTAGAAGGCAGCAAATCCATTTGTTAAAAGTTTTAATTTACTCATCACATTTAAGCATCAGTGTTTGATATGAAGCTGTCAGCCTACTGAACTAGGAACACTTGTTCCCATGTCTTGGAATGCTACACAATCGCTGTGTGAGAGCCAGTCAGCAAGAACTGCGCTTGTGTTCCTGACAATGACACAGCACTTTTCCAGCTGTGAAGGAAACAGTTACTGCTGTAAGAGCACAAGAAAAAACATCCAGCTGCCTGGGGGAAGGGAGAAGACACTACTTTATAACCTACTTTGATGCAAGAGGAAAAACCGCCTTCAGGGCACAACAAGGAATACAATAATTTAATTAATCAGAGCTTCTCTCTCCTGGTTGAACTGGTGTTGCTGGAGCTGACTGCTACATGAGAGAAAGATGAAGAGGAGTGAGAGAAGTTGCCAAATCCACCCAAAATCAGTTCAAACTTGACAACACTCCCATCAAGAACTGGGGTCCTGGTCATAAAGATAAAATTTATTACTTTAATGCTGAAACAAAACAATGTGTCTCAGAAGAGCCTCCTGTACTTCTTCATCTTCCTCAACCAGAACTGGTTTATTTCACAGATAACGTTTTCAAAAATGCAGCAAAACAATCTACAGAAACATATCTATCAGAATGGCACAATAACCTATATGAAGCATCCCAGAGCTGTGGCTTGTGCCATGTTGTTCACTTCTCTCCAACAAAGGCCAGGCATCATTCAGATGTGATGAAAATGCCAGTGAGTAAGATGGTGCTGACAAAATAATATCCCTCAGGAGGTCTTTCCTCTGTCTGGACAATTCCTCTGTCAGAGAAATTCTAGTCAGTGGTTTTACAAAAAAAAAAAAAAAAAAAAAAAAAAAAAAACCCAAAAAAACCCAAAAAAACAAACCTCCTATTCACCTTTCTTTTTTAGTTGAAAAAGGATACAAGATAAAAATCCCACAGGAGGGGGAAAGCAAATTGGCTCTCCTATTCTTATCTATCCTCCATTATTTCTTTAATCAGTAAATAAGCAAGGAAAAAGTATAGCTTTCAGCTACGTAATTGTAAGCTGTAGTTTTAATGCCTGATGATAATATAAATGCCCAAGTTCAAGCTCAAGACTACTGTTAACTTCCTTTTTCTGCACAACTGAGCTTTTCCCATAGAAACAAACTGTAATACAAAAGCAGATGGGGATTCCATTTAAAACAGTTAGTAAGCAAACTGCAGCTGATGTAAGCGATGACAGAGTATTCTGCAAATAATGGTTACAATCATCACATAGCAAACTCAACAGAATCTAACAAAATTAGAAGGTGAAACACACTGCTCAATCCTGAACAGGATTCAATTTCCTAAAATTTTTAATGCAAAATGATCATAACAGCGGCACCTACGTGGCTCAGTGGTGCTGAAGGTTAAAACAACCGTGGTATAATGAACAAAGACGCAGAATTTCTCAGAGGCAAAACGCTGGTGATTAACAAGGACAAGTTAGACTAAACCACTGCCAAAAGATGTATATACAAGTCCAGTGTAAGGATAAAGTATTAATCAGCATTTGATAAAAGGCGTAAGAAGGTTTGGCCTACAGCAGGAGCTGGTTCAGCATCACAGACCTTACGCCGTGCCTAGCGCTGCAGGAGGAGCAGGGCCGAGCAGCTGAGCAGTGTCAGGCAGGCACGGCCGCGGTGCCGCAGCGAGCTGTGGGCACGGCGCCGACGGAAACCCACGGAGCCCAGCCGGGGCTGCGGCCCGGGGCACCCGCTCTGCCGGGCATCCATCGGCCGTGCCAGGCGCTGTGCCAGGCGCTGCCCCTCCGCCCGAGCCGCCCCCGCGTTACCTTGATGTGCTCGCCGTCGATGGTGACGGCTCTCTCGCGGAAGTCCACGCCGATGGTGGCCTCGGTGCGCTGCGGGAAGCGGCCGGCGCAGAAGCGGTAGGTGAGGCACGTCTTGCCCACGTTGGAGTCCCCGATGACGATGATTTTGAAGATGCGCGAGCGGGCGGGGGGCAGCGCGCCGGGGAGAGCCCCGGAGCCCGTCAGGCTCAGCTCCAGCGAGGACTCCGCGTCCCCCGCCGCCATCGCCGCCCTGAGGCGCGGGCCGGTCTCGCGAGAGCGCGCCCGCCGAGCCCCGCGTGCCGGCAGGGGGCGCTGCGGGGCGCTGAGGGGCGGGAGCGGGACCCGGCCCAGCCTGGGGGCCGCAAAGTGTGGAGGGTGTAAAGTTTTCTTTTGTCTGCTTTCCAGCCTAATGAATGAAAAGGGAGAGTGAGTCTGTGGAACAGAGCTGCCAGCAAGATCCAAGTGATGGCCAAGTGCTCCAAAAACAAGTTATTTGTTAGTAGAAACGCCTTGTTAGGGCTTGGGACTGGACAGACTGCAATGTTCTCAGACCCAGGAGAGGTTAATTCCTTCTTCTCATTGGGAATAAGGATGCACCACTGTGGACAAAGTGGATGTCCCATAGTGCACACCAAAACCGCAGAATTTAGGGGCCACAAGGACATCTGGCAGAACTCCCAAGATAAGGAAGAAACAAATGAAGATAACTCAGTAAATGTGCTGAAATCGGCTCCCACTGGGTAACAGGTAATTCCGGCAGGGACAGATCCCGACCAGCTCACAGAGCACGGACACAAAAACCCACCCGCCAGAAGGGAGAGAGACTGAGCATGGGATTAGTTAGCACGGGAGGTGAAAGAACCATTAACCAGTAGAAGACAGAATACTGATTAATAAGAGAATCATATGACTTTTAACTAATGAACACTAATCACTTTGCTAAAATGCATAAATAGTAAAAGTTCTGAGAATTGAGGTACTTGATCTGTTGAATATCATGGAGCACCAGGTTTGTGCAATCTGAAACAGATCATGTCTCTCTTGAGTAGTTATTGGCTTGCTGGACATGAGATAACAAATCCAGTTTTTGCAGACAACTTGATGTCAGAGACTGAAGTAGTTCATGCCTCAAACATTGATATCAAGTTTTGCTCATTACAACAAAAACTGCATAAAGAAGCTACAACCAAAGAAGCCTCCCTGAAGATACCTCACTGGGATTTTGGACTGAAAGTCAAACTGCTGAGATTAGATAAATGGAAAACCCATTCTTCAATCACATGAAACAAACAAGTCAACAAGGAAAAGAATGTGAGCCAAACGCAGCCGCCATGCTAAGAATCATCTCTGGCGTGCTTTGGGGTGGGGGAGGCTGTAGCACACAGACCCCTTTGCTGGGAGCAGGTTTGCACAGATTTGACCCCAACCGAGATGTGGGGAGGAATTTGGGTGTGTTGGAACCTCTGCTCAGGGGCAGGGAACCCATCCCCCCTTACACAAAGTGGCTGTGGAACCCCAATGGGACATTCCCGTGAGAGGCAGCTGAGGGGGTGCCTTAATCCATGAAAGGGCCCCCAGAGTGTCCCCTGAGTCATTCCTGAAGCCTGGCAGCACAGGACTGCAGGTGATGCGACAAACCCAGAATCTTTTGTAAGGGACAATGGCAAACTCCCCCTCCAGGGAGGTGCCTGGATTTTCCTACCTGGCCTGAACATATATTAACTCATCAGATTCTATGGTTTTTGGGAGAACCTTCACGACCAAGAAGACAAGCTGGAGAGGATCAAGGGAGCATTTGGTGACATTTTCTTTACTGTGTCCCTGTTACTCTCTTTCTGTTCCCCCTCACCTATTTTCTGTTTCTTTTTCTCATATTTACTATCAGATAAAACCCATACTGCTGTCACTGGAATATGGTCTCCTTTGCACCTTAATTCGAACCTTAGTAATGGGATCCTGACACACAGGGACCATCCACAGGGAGTTGTATTTGTGAGATGTTTGCATTGATGTGGCATACTCAAAAGGCCTGGAGGCAGAAGGGGAAGACCAAGAGTGTGAGGGCTTGTTTGTAATTGTGGGATGATGTTGCAACCCTCCGCTGGACCTGCTCCTGGAGCTCCATGTCTCTGTTGTCCTGAGGAGCCCAGAACTGGACACAGTACTCCAGGTGTGGCTCACCAGGACTAAGTAAAAGGGCAGAAGAGCTGTGCTCCAGCCTGGCTGTGCCACTGCTGCCATTTACGGTCAATAAGCAAATTATGCCTGGCAGGGAAGGACGCTTGAACCAGAAAGGATGGATGTATCTCTGAAGAAGGGAAGTGTGGCATTGCCCTAACAATCTGCTAGCTCACTACGGGAATCAGCACAGGTGAGAGGTAAGATACAGACATCAAGTTTTAACAGCGTCCACCAGCAAAAATTTGTAAAGAGTTTAACCCCTCCAGTGAAAAGCAAATGTAGATTACAGTAGTTGAGAGTACTGTTACCCTAACAGGGGCTTTGCAAACTGATAGCTGAGCCAGAATTCTTAAGGTTTGGATCAGATACCTAATAATAGTCTTTGAGAGTTCTCCTCCTTACATTGCTACACATGCCCCTGACCACTTGGGGTTTCTGCCTGCACAAATAATAATGATCCTGAGATCCTAAAGATCAACTGTCACATGGTTGGAGGACAGTGCTTTTAGCAACCCATTATTACTCATATAAAAACAAGAGGCTAGACTAAATTTAAAAAGCATTAAAATATCCTGAGTTCCGAGCAACTTCATTGGCACTCCCTTTCCATCTCACTTGGACCAATCCCTAAGACTATAGAGATGTTCTTCCACCCTGTAGCCCTCTTCTGAGACAGGGTGATTCCATTTATGCTCTCAAATAATTCATTGTGTCAGAGAAGAGGAGTAATTTTATCGAAGGGAGATTAAAGGGTGGGGGGAGGAGGTTGTGCCACCCTCAGGTTCCTACTGTCCCTTGCACAGAATTGTTCCTTCTTGCACCCAGGATGCAAAATGTGTTTTAGTTAAGGAGAGGAAGCAGAAGCAAGCCCATCTCTATAAGCCCAATGATCAAAGAAGTAGAGAAATGATAATTCTAGTGGGGGGTACTCTGATTTGTGCTTTGTCTAGTGTGCAAAAAGGTGAGTTTAAACAGCTGTTCACAGGCCAACAGCTTTGCTCTGCGTTATACCAGGAGGGCCAAAGTGAATCAGAATTAGATCTGAGCTCTTCAACAGCTCTTAACTTCTTTTATTTCAACAGTCAGGACTTTAAATGGCAGAATCAACATACCACCTAGTGGCTGAAGGCATTCCTAGTCTTTAGTACTCGGCTATTTTTATATGAGCACCCAAAAACCTTGCCAGTGAATTTGCCTCACGATGCTGCCAACAGCCACCATAGTTCCTGTTTTGTTAGCCCTGAGACAGACAGACCCTCCTTCACAGGAAATACAGCTGGCCCCTGAAACAATGGACTTAGAGTAAATAACCTCATTTAAACCTAAGAGTTTAAATTTTGTATCAGATGTGGACACTTTTATGTGAGCTATTTCAGCTCACATACTGGTGCTACTGGAAATTTCATCACTGATGCTATTCTTGAAGGAATAAAGATGTTGATTAGATCCTTACATTTCATCCAGCACAGACTATTTCTGGATATTCCTTTTCCTTTTTAATATATTTGGAAACCAGCAACTATAACTGAATTTATTTATCATCACAGAATAAATTAAAAATGCTTTTTGCTATAAAAGCTTTTGAAAAAGCTTTTGGTTTTCTTCTTTTGCAAGGACAAGTACTTTTAATGTGCTCTTCAGATGTGCTCGGTGAATGAACGTATAAGAGCCTAAATTCACAGCTATTTTTATTTAGCAGATGTAGAATTTTCCAAGAAGGATTCTGAAAATAGTTGCAAGTCTCTGGACTTGCTTAGCATTTAAAGAATAGTTATTTCTGTTGTCTCCTGAAGGAATATTTTAACATGTTAGTCCCATGAAAATGCGGAGTATTCAATATCTAAAAATTGCATCTACTAGGTTGTAAGTTAAGGAAAAAATTAGGGGAAAAAAGTGTAAGTCTAAGGCTGTCTCATTGACTTGTTTTTTTACTGATCAAAAATTTTCCAGGTGATTTAATGGCAAGTAGTTTAAAAATGCTTTTAGAGTCTCTTTAAAGCTTTTTAAAAAGTTTTTCAGAGATACTGTACCTCTGACTTCTTGTGGGGCTTTGGTGTTATGCTTCACATCCTCCATTTTTGCAGGAATAAGTCCTGTGCTTTTGAAAGGAAAAGTTCTACTATTGCAAGACTTGACTCTGCAAGTTTTAAGGAGATTTTGACACCAAAATAATTTTTCCCCCCAAAACATTCCTTTGTGACAAAATACAGATGGCAGAAATGTTGGTGCAGCAAAAACCAGCTTTTTAAGAGATGGGAATCTATCTTTGCACTGAAATGAAGTTTTGACACAGCTGCTTTACTGCCAGTTACCAGAATGTGCCTTTCATATTCACATCCATGCTCTTATTCTTGTCAAAACTATAAACCAAAGAGCTTTCTGAAAATTAAAAGCAATAAAACCTTTCCCATTTCTAGTTTGTGCTTGGTTGTTTTCCTCATTACACACCTGGAATGAGCTGTGGGCCTGTCTGCATAGCTGATGGGACAACTCAGTAACTTCTGCATGAAGAGCCTGGCACTGAAACCAGGGCTCATCACACACCCCAGACCTGTAGCAGCACTGCCTGCACATCCTGGCTCGGGTACTGGGCATGCCCTCTGCCCTGGTGGGATGGCTCATCCAAGGGGAATCAGAAAGGACAGGGAGCATCTTGGCAGCAGAGCTGCAGACTGACAGTGAGCAGCAGTGTGTGCTCAACCAAAAACTATTTCCCTGCTTTCTCTGTCGCTGTCATTGTATGTGCTGTGTTAAGGGTGTCTGCATGTCCCAAAGGGTCATCAAATGCCATGAGGCTTCTATATTTACCTGTGTGCACCAATGCCTCAATAAATCATCCCTAGCCAGCAAACAAACCCAGCTGTATTGTGATTTGCCTTCATGTTGAGACCTTGACTCACAAGACCTTAATGTAAGGATATATTATGCATTTTATTATCTTGGTAACAGGTTTTTCTTCCAATAATCTCAGGGTGTGGTTTTGTTACTCATTTCTGCAAGAATAAGCTTTCCTTCTTTTCCCAGGCTCACTCTTGTAATGCAGGGCATATTTCTACTGTGATTTCAACTAAGACATTGAATAAAAATTCACAGTCTC